AGAGAGAGAGAGAGAGAGAGAGAGAGAGAGAGAGAGAGAGCGTAGCTTATACCATTTGCTCTAAAAGCAAACTCTTTTTAATTTTATAACATATAATAAATAATAACATTTATTATTATAAAATAATGATTATTGGCACACATAATCAATCTTGTAATGTAAAAATACATTTATTATACTAATGAATAGAGCACTAACATTATCATACAGCAATAAAAACATGTATTGAAAATTCTGTAATTAGTAATTACTAAATAACTATACTTAAACAAATATTTAAACATACTACACTAAAAACACAAACAAAACTATAATTACAATTATAATTAATGAAAATTTGAAAAGTGTGTCTTAAAATGTTAAACTATCATTTAGCTATAATTACAATATTCTTAGTGAACGGATGTATTAGTTTAGATGCGGACACATTCAGCTATGAACAGACCTCAACCATACCGGTTATCCTGCAATTCAATTACGGCTATTATGTTAACTATTTGAAGGACTTATCGCACGTTATTATGACTAAAGATGGTGAAACATTTCTCAGGATATACCCGCAGTGGCCACATTGTAAGTAACCTTTGTTAATTTTGTTAATAATAATAGCTTGATCATTTATTTATTGTTGTAATACAATAAAATGACACCAATTAGCCCCTGTGCTCAGTCCAGTGAAGGGACTGACGGCACTCGATGTGGACATATCTACCTATAAAGAGGATAAGTTAATTATCACATACGCCAACACCACTACATCGGGTTTATATGTATGTGAAGTACACTATAAAAAGGAAGGAACTGTTACAACAAATCGACAACAATTCGAGCTAAAAATTGCTGAAAATAAAGGTAATATTAGTTTTAAAAAGTTATTTACATTTTATAAATAATATCTAATCTGATGATTGTGCCACATCAATTGGAATAGTGCCTGTTACATTTCAAATTGAAAACTCAACCAAGCATGATTACTTCACAAGCGTAGAGTGCAAAACTGATTTAAGCGCATACACCCATGTACAGATTACTGAATTTAATTTCAGTGTCAATAATCACACGTTCATTACTATTACTGAAGATAATAAATGTAAATAGTAACTTATTATTAATTAAATTATACTTTTTAATTCATAATGTACATGAACAATAAACTAACAAAACATATTTATTGATTATCTAGATGAATTGCACGAACTTGATAAATTAAACAGTGTTGAATCGTTGGACATATCCCTATCAAAAGGATCTGTCTCATTTAGTATCCCTTATAAAAGTGGTGAATATTATTGTCAATTTGTGATCAAAAATACCTCCACTTTATATGAGTCTGCAGTTTGGTCGGAAAGTATTGATGTCTATAATTCAGCATCACTTAAATATTTGCCACAATTATCTATTATTATAATTTTATTTGCAATTAATTTTATATAATTATACCTTAAATTTTTATTTTATTTGCTAATCAAACAGTAAAAGAAGTTTCTTACCACAATAACTAACAAATAGACAACAAGAACATGAACTAAACTTCTATTAAACGTTTATTACTAAATATTCGTGATACATTTATAAATAAAACAAATGAAAAATATATTTATTGTGATAATAAGGCATTTATTATCTAACTTTTTGGATTTTAAAAAATGAATTTATATTAATTAAAATTCATTTAATACCATGCAAAATATACTTTGTTGAAATTTATCAAGAATTGAATTTTATTTTATATAGTGCAATTAATCGACCATCGTAATAAGTAAGTGCAATTTAAGGCATGGTATACTAAATATGCACTTTATGTGCCCGCATACATTATTACACGTACAATATTATTATGTCGTGCAGAATGATGTAAACAGAGAAATCGTGAACCTTTTGTTATACAACACACTTGTATTTGAAGTGAAGCACATTGAATAGATTCATGGTGATTTGATTCAATAGTCAATTAATAATTATTAATAAACATCTTAACAAAAGAACATGGTTTATTTATTGAGAACATTTCTTTCAAAAACAAATTTTTGATTACAGAGTCCTTGAATGCACTAATTGTGGAAATTAGACGGTATCACCATAATTAAATACTTCTAATCTTACATTTTTAATAATTTCTTATTATAACTACTAGGTTATATTTGCCCTGTTTATTTGTGTAGTGACAACAAAATGCCATGTAAAAAATGAAATAAAAATATTTTTATTTGATCATTATTCATTTGTGCAAAACTAATTCTGGAATACCATTAATTTAAATCCTAAACGTCCGGTAAACTAAATTTACCATTCTCCTTTTAAGGTACATGATTAATAATGTGTAACAATAAGTACAATTAATATCAGTTTAATGAGCTTTTTATCAAAACACTTATATAATTAATTCTTATATAATTAATACATCCACTTATATGTTTTTAATTAATTAAAAATATATTATACAACCGTACAAAAAATCAATCGTCACATGTATCTATTAATTGATAACAATTATGGTATAAATATAATAAACATTTTGCAAAATACAATTAGACATCATCTCAACAAAAACAATGAAACATTTGTTAAGTATTTTAGTAATTGTTTTACCGATTTGTGCGGCGGTTGACGTTGAGGTCCGCAATACCGGTCAGTATTTCTAACATTCATTTTGTATTTATTTAATAAACATTTGAATTAAACCAATAAATAATTAATTGTAAAGTATACTAGTTTAATTACTTCAAACTAATTAAACAAATATATAATTATATTAAAATATTAAAACTTTTTAAATAGTTGGCAACGCTATAAAGCGCGTGGAAATACTAGGCTGTACTGCCGAGCCCTGTACCCTTACCTTGGGCAAATCGATCAACGTATCTATCACATTTGAGGCCGGTATGTAATATCCTATTAATTTATACCAAATATAACTTAAAATTCAAAATCCATTCCCAATAGACTTTGAAGTACCAGAAGATTCCCCGACCATTGAAACATTCAATAACTTATGGACCGGTTATTATCGATTCGATAGAGAGTATGCGGTCACCAATTATGATGAGAAAAAGGATGTCGTCCTAAAGAGCACATACACTGTATTGAAAGAAATTTGGATTTGTACCGACAAAGTCTATTACGAATACAACGATCCTGATCGATCTGCTCCTAACTATGGCACACCCCTTGTATGTTACAAATTTATATTTAATATTTATACATATTATTAATTAATTATTACTGCAGGGCATTCGTGATGTTGTATTTCAGCTTACCGATCATGGTTATTTTTATGAAAATAAGATACTTGCTGCAGCCACATTCAAAGTAAACGTTGCTGTTTAGCATTACAATTATTGACGTGTTTTTGATCTATTTTTGAATAAAAGTGAATTAAAATATTTTTGAATAAAATTTATTTACACAATATTTAAATTGTATTACTATTTAAAATTTAAATTTTAAATATTGTTTTCGAGTTAATTAATTCAACTCTAATTAGTTTAACTTAACGATAATCTTAGCAGTTAAATGTGTGCGGGCTAATAAAAAAGCAAAATCATTCTAACCATAATTGATTAATTAAATTGTAATAATTAAGCCTAGTATAGAGCAGATTAATTTATTTACAAAGCGTAAAACTGTTTGATATATTTGGCACATTTATAGCCCACTAATATAGCAGCGGAGGCGGTGTTGGCGTTGGGTATAACCGGAAACACAGAGGCGTCGCAAACCCGAAGACCATTCACTCCCTTAACTTTCAACTGGGGGTCGACCACAACTTCCGGCCTCTGTATCGCTCCCATACGACAACTGCCCGAAGAGTGATAGTTAGGAGTAATATTATATTTCATATAACACTTCAATCCATTCACGCATTCATACAAATACTGTTTGTCCGGACAGTCGGGACACCCGATGGCCGAAAACGGTAGCAATGGGTGTATATATTGTGAAACATTTGTGCGCTCGAGTAAATAAAATACAAAACTCAAGGCATCGATCATATTGTCATAATCTAATGGATGTGATAACCAATTCGGGTCTATTAGTGGTGGTAATCGGGGATCAGTTGACTGTAATCTAATAGTGCCCTCACTTTTAAATCTCACTAAAGTAATAATGGCTCCCATTTTTGTAGAGTTATTGGGGGTATATAACAGTTGTATGTTTGGCCACTCTTTATCCCTGTTTAATCGTGTGCTAAAGTATAGTACAAAATTTGTATGTGATGATAATGGACCATGGTGATTGTCATATAATTTACTCAAAAGGAATTATTTTGGGGGATAAGTGGCGTAGCCCATTTTAATTAATATGGACATGTTCCGCACGGTTCATAGATGTATTTTCTTTTGAGATAATCGGCGAATGGCCAGAAATGACCAAATTGTGGTCAAAATTCTAAATTTATACATAGCGTTTAATGCATTGAGAAACATTCAGGTGGATATCATTTTGGTGAATGATCCAAGTTTTGTGTGAATCACCACTTTTCTATGCATTAAACGCTATGT